GAAGAGGAATCTGTGAACTATCTCTTATTCTGGTGTCACTTTTCCTAGGAAATATGGTGCAAGTGTTGTTAGCAATGGGGCCTAGTTTGAATCGTTCTAGGTTCTTTAAAGGTAGCTTTCCAATATTGGTGTGATCTGCTTTGTAAGAAAGAACAGAAGCAGATTTAGGAGATCCTATTTTAATGCAATTGTCTGGTCCATTTGAAGCAGATTTAGGAGATCCTATTTTATGCAATTGTCTGGTCCATTTGGTTGGCGTTCAACCAAAAAACACTATCAGGGGATCAAATCTTTAAACTAACTAAAGCCCGTCTTGGTTATTGGATGAAAGCTAAGTTTCCTGAACAAAGCTTCAATGTATCAAGCTTCTCTACAAGCATGCAAGTTATCTAAAATTTACTGCCTGAGAAACCAAGAAACAAGTCAGCACAATGGATCCCCCCCCCCCCCCCCCCCCCAAAGAGGAAAATGGAAGATCAATGTTGATGGCACTGCACGTGAAAAATCAAGACCAACAGGAATAGTTGGAGTGCTTTGCGATAGTGAAGGAAAAATTAAGCTCCTCTTTTCCAAAAAAGTTGGATTTATGGATTCTAATCTTGTTGAGCTAATGGCTGTGATAGAGGCCCTCACGATTGTGGTGGAAGCCAACATCAACCCCTTGCCAGACCTCATAATTGAAAGTGACTTCAAAGTAGTTATCTCATGGGTGAATCACATCTACGAAAGCCCATGGAAGTTCAGCAATGTCATCAACCATCTCTGTAATTTACAAGCTGTCATAAAAAATATTTCGTTTGTTCACGTGTCTAAAGAAGCTAATCACTTAGCGGATTATCCAGCCAAAGTGGGAATGGATAGATCCACTGACTTGATTGCATGGTTGTAATTTTGTAGCCCTCCATATTTAAATAATACTTCATTTAAAAAAAAAAAAAGAATTAGGCTGCATATCTTATTCCATATCCTACTAGTATAGGATATAATTATTATTTTCTTTTTGGCTTTTGTTATTCCATATATACATATGAGTTCCCTCAATGACATATTTAATTGTTTTGGATGTCAATTGATTTTCTTACACAAAAATTGGAATTAAAGGTATAAAAATTAAAAATTAATATATTAATTATTAGTATCAAAGTCAAGTAGTCAAGTAATTTTCTTAAAATAAATTAAGGATTAAGGTTATGTTTTGTACACAATATTATGATAAGATAAGACAAGATAATATTATGAATAAGATTAGATTAAATAATATCATCCTATCTTATATTTTATGTGTGCAAGAATTAAGATAGGATAATTTATTTATTAATCAAAATTATCATTCCTTAAAGTTTATATAATTTAAATTATTGATGTAATTTTTAAAAGTATAATAGGATATGTAAATTTAATCCTATAGAGTAAAAATAATTCTCTCCAGTTTGAGAGAATTGAATCATCTTATAATAATAAAATAATAATCATTTTATAATCCTATCTTTTTAATTAAATACAAATCAAATATAATATAAAATAATTATCATATTATCATATCTATTATCCTATACATCAAACACGGCTTAAATACTTAAAAATTAGTAATTATATCATATTTGGTTTTAATGCATTTTTTTTTATTTTCTTTCTTAAACTACATATTAGAAAACTAATATTGTTGACATGTTTTGTTACTTTTACTCTTATGGCAAGAAAGAAAAGGTTCTTCCGAACAAAAGGTTAGAAACATCACATTCCTTTAGAAGGATTTTTTTAATACAATATTGTTGATTCTATCTTTTTATAAAGATTGAACAAATACAGAATGCAAACAATCTATATACATGTGTATGGGGCATAGTAAATGGTATATCTCTTTGTAAGTTTGTTTACTTTATTTAAAAATGTAAAATGATGAAATAGTTTCCATGTAATTGTATTAAATATGGTAGAATCAATCAGAAAATTATGTTTATTTTAGACATGATTTATACAAAAAATATTTCATCAAATAAAGTATGAAAGCAATATTTTCTATTAGATTATAAGATTGAGTTGAAAAAACAATAAGATTATAAGATTGAGTTGAAAAAAAAATTCAACATATAGTGTCAACAACCAATGAAAAATAGTGTTTTTAAAATCAAAGAATCAACTAAGATATTTTCAAATTTTTTTCAATAAGAAACGAAATCATTTATTAATTAGTAAGCGCACTTTTTTGCAGCAAAATATTACAAACTATATAGAACTTATTAAAAATGCATTAAAGACGCACATAAAAAATTGCATGTGAAATCAAATATTAATTAAAAAATCATAAAAAAACCCAAATATGTCAAATCTTAATTGTCAAGTACATTATTTTATTATTTATAAGAAAATCATCAACTTGGTGAAATAATGACATAAAAAAATTTTGAAATAAGATTAACTTACATCCATATAAAACCTTTTAATTTTTTTTATTATTAATTTTAATAAATTAAAAAATCTCTAATTTCTTAAATTTATTAAAATTAATAATTAAAAAATATATAAATTTAAAAAATTTATATTGATATAAATTAATCTATTTTTAAACATTTTTAAAATAAAATAATACAAATATTGCTACTGAAGTGGGCACAAAGGGATTAAAAAAGGCAAAATATTTAAAACATCACCCAAAATCGAGTCTATTAAAAAAAAATTTTTCTTGGGAAGGTTATTATTTACTATACAACAGGGTCAATGAAGTTGTGTTTCTGATTTGCAGAATTAACATGATTCATTTTATTAGTCGGCAAAGTAATAGTTTCAAGAGAAATAGCTACGACAGGCTACGAAAGCCTCCACGAAACCCTACAACTATGCCTTGGCTGATGGGAATAAAAATTCTAAGGCTTCATCAGCCTCCAAGACTACCGTCCTACTCCTTGGGAACAGATCTCAAGCCAAATCCCCATTGTCAGTCGCAGCACTTGCTTGAACCCTATCACGTCGAGCCCCGCCATATGCGCGTGGAGACAACCTGGATGCCTATCTTGCTACTGCTATTTCTTAAATCATTTTTGCCTGTTCTTTAGCCTCGACTCTTTACACTGTAGAAAAAAAAGCATAAAATATATTGTTGCAGCATGAGCAACTTAATACGCAGAAAAGGTAACAGCTAGCGGGACTTGATTAGTTATTCCAATGTTTAATCCATCACACTTAAATTTTAAAATTATAAGTGCAAAATAAATTAAAATCTACACCAATAAGAACAAATCAATCTTATAAAGTCTAAATTTAATTCCATACTTTTGAAAGATATTTAATTGAACTTGGAAACTCTTGAATAAATAGTTTCTTTAACATGATAAATTATCTTTTTCCTCGTAAACTAAAGACATTTTTATATGACTAAGCACTAAATTACAACAACAAAAAAAAATCACAATTTTAATGGTAAAAAAACATAAAATTTAAAATATATATAAACGTATTGTCTAAAATAATATGCAAAGAAATATCTCGAAGAGAAATGAAAAGATTAAAAAAAATTCATAGATAATAAATTCTAAACCTTGTAATTAACTATGCAATGGGGCAAAGCATCACAATTTAATTTGTTTCATTCCATTGAATCTTTACGAAAGTAACAAAACACAAAATAAAAATTTTTAAAAAATAATGACATGCTAAATGTTAGTGAATTATATATTATACAAAAAATTTTTGAGGCTAGACCCATCTATTTATAATAGTAAATAAGAGACAAAATAATCAAGGTTTTAAATATAGATATTTAATGTATTTAATCATAAAAGGAAAATAAATATTGAATTTCGTAATAATTTTTGGATGTCAATTAATTGAAATTTGTATACTTGTAATTTATTGGAATCAATATTGATTATTCTTTCTTATCTGATCTGATTTATTTTTCAAAATTTGAATTTAAATGAGTGCAAATAGAAAACTCCTGGTTATAGTAGTTCCACATGAACATGAAAGGTAAGTAAATTACAAAAATAAAGGAAATAAATATAAATTATTCTGAAATTTTTTAAAAAGAATTAAATCAATTAAAAACAATTGATCGAAAGATACATGATATTTATTCAAAATTACACACATATCAAAAAATTAAATCATTCACACTTGACAGTTTTTTTTTTTTTTTTTTTAAGATTTTAACTTCTATATTAAATAATAATTAAGAAGCAGCTAAAGACCGGCGGCCGCTGTAGTTTGTTTTTTAGTTTCTACAAACAATTATCTAAAAATTTCAGGATCCCCTATGCAAAACCTAACAGACAATTAACATAAAAATTGTTTGATGAAGTTACAAGAATACGTAAAAATTACAATCATAATAAATATTACATATGTATAAAAAATTACTAAATCTGACAACAAATAACAAATTTAAAACAAAATTGAATTGCACCCACGCAAACAAAATTAGTAGTCCTACCATTGTGTGTGACGAGTATAAATGGCACTACTTCAACCCCAAAGTTTTCCAGCTAAATACACAAAGCACAGTCCTTCACCTAAACAAGTTACAATTTATTGGTACTACTAGTTGCTTCATTGCTTGAAATAATTATTCTTTATAATTTCCTGCTCTACAATCTACATAGACATTAGAGGAGATGTTTCGGATGTACAACCCTCGTTGGCAGCTTTGAGATCTCCCTATGAATACGAAACAAGGGCGCTTTCAAGCATATTTTTCCTCCTAAACGAGAAAGTAGAAAGTTGCCTTGAACGTTATTCCATATAAAAAAAAAAAAAAAAACAGATTGCCTTGTACGTGTTTCACAACGATTTATTACTTTTATTCTATACTCTACTTTTATCCTTCTAAAAAAGTTTTAATTTAAAACTTTGCAGAAAATTATGCTTTATTAGATTGCAGGAAGCACACATTAAGATCATTGTTATTTTGTCATTATTCATCATACTAAAGCACATCGAGATATGAAGACCATTTTCATCAGCTTCCAGTGTTTCCAATTCTTGTTCGTAACATACTTAAAGGAGTTTACGCCAGAATCTAGCAAGATACTCTGAATTATTCATACAAGGGTTAAAATAGCTTCAATGGTATTTGAGTATAAATTCATACACATTTTCAGGTCGTTTCTAAAGGGCTACAATAGCTTCAATGGTATTTGAGTTTAAATTCATACATGATTTTGTTATTTGAATATAAATCCAAGGGGACAAGGGTGCACTAATTGGCTTAATAAAATTTCCCTCATAACTTTGCACGGTCAAGTAAATCGATCTTAGACAGTCAAACTTTTACTCCTTCGAAGAAAAGAAACTATTCAACAAGTATCTTCAACATCCCCCAAATGTTGCCACTAGCAAGCTTCGCATGACTGCATCACATCCTTGGGGAAAACCTTTGGAGCAAATCTCTTGCAGTGGAACTTGAATATCCTATAAAAAAATAAATCATTAACATTTTTATAGCAATTCCCATTACTTGACAAGAACTTCTGTTAAACTCACTTACCATCTTTGAAGAAACAATTTCTATCATCAAATTCAACGAGCTGTAGCAGATAAGAAATAATGTCAACCAACTAGGATAAAATGAATCCAGCTTCTATATATTTTGCACGAAACATTGTTACTTTTAGAACTCAGCATGTGCAACCAATAGCTTTCCCACCAGATGGAGGCAAAACAGATTGCAGTTTCATTATCATCCGGTTGAGCTCCATCAACTTGTCCATCTCATCATACTGCTTTAAAAATCTCTGCATCATACGATAAACTGATTCACTCATATGCCTTCCTCTCTCCAAGATCTGTTTGCAGCATTGAAATGCCTCTTGCAACCGTCCTCGGGAGCATAATCCTGTTACCAAAAGATCCAATGCGTGGCTATGAGGACAATGCCCTTTCTGTACCAAATAATCCCACAAATTTAAACCCAAATCCAAATCTTGATTTTCACAAAAAAATTTCATTAGCATAACCACTGTTCTGGTCCTAGGAATGAAATTTCTCTCTGTCATTTTATGGTATAGCTCACAAACTCCTTCAATGCCACTAAACTTCATCATTCCTAAAAACATTGTATGATATGTCACACCATCATGCTCAATCTGCTTCCTCTGCATCTCATCCATCAACTCAATGGCAGAATTTATGTCTGCGGACCTAATCAGAGAACCGATCATAGCATTATAAGTTCCAATATCATGCTGTAAATTCCTTTTAGGAATTTCATCAAACAACTGCCTAGCCTTTGGAGTATTTCGTGCAAGGCCAGCACCATGAATCAAAGTAGTGATTGTTTCAAGTGTAGGTAAGCAGTGCACCTGTTCCATTTCTTCAAGAAGTCGCAAAGCATCCCCAAAAAATCCCTTCTTACAGTAAGTATCGATCCGAATGTTATATGTCATACTGTTAGGCCTGAAACCTCTTCGAAGCAATTCATGGTAAAAAAGTTCCATTGCAGTAACATTGCCTGATTCCTTGAATCCCAAAAGCAGAATATTCATGGTCTTGATATTAGGAGAAAATCGAGAATGCATCTTCTGGAATACCGATTTGGCCTCTTTCATCTCCCTCTGCAAGCAAAAAGCTCGAAGGAGCACATTGAACTCATCCGTATTAAAATTCCTCCAAACAAAAACCTCAGTCTCCATCTTTTTGAATGCTTCAAGGGTATTTTCATAGGATTGGAATTTTGCAATTTTTGCCAACATGATGCTCATTGATTTAAGGCTAAGCAGGGAAGGATGCGTATGTCGCATTTCTATCATCAATTCCCAAGCTTTGTCAAAATAGCGCATGCGTGTGAGAATGTGGAGTGTCTTTTCAAAAGCATCCACACTTGGAGTAAGCTGAGAATGGTGGATGGAATACTTGAAGAACTCCAAGGCTTTCAGTCCATTTGAGTGTGCTGCAAAGAGTCGACCAAGAACACTCTCCACAAAAGATGGGGAAAGGGAAACAGGTGGGATATGACGGAGAAGGGTAGGTTGAAGTGGTTCATCAGGAAATGGATGGTCATTGATGAGTCTGGTGATTCTGTCAATTTCAGTTTTTAGTTCAGAGGCTAAAGGAGATAAGCTGGACGATTTGTAAGCCACAAAGAGATAAAGGGAGAGATTAGTTTTTGCAAGTTGAATAACTTGACTAGATTCCTTCATTTGCAATAATAAGAGCATTTTCCCTCCTAAATCAGTTATGACTGCAACTGTTAACCAATTTCAACCTTTTCATTTTGGACCAAAATGGTCACTCTTTTGATCCATAATACCCTGCATAAATAAAGCGCATCAGGGTTAAAATTAGGATTTTTTTTATTGAAATGAAAATTGAATTTAACTTGACCAAGCTCATAAAAAGGTCACCTTATGAGACCCCAGTTGCCTATTGTATTCCTGTCACCAACTGATTTGATTTCAGCACTAATGTCAAACTGAGTCATGGTATTCAGAAGTTCAAAGAATAAGAATCTCATATTTTACAAGTGACTAGAGGCTTTACTACTAGGAACTACCTAATCTTTGTAGGCAGAAGGCTTATTCATTTGGATAAATCATATTTCGTTGCTAGTGCCACATTTATTGATAAACAGATAAATAATTAACAGGAAACATATAATTTGAGTTGTAGCAGAATATATAATTGATCAGTTCACAAGCTGTCTAAATAGCACACTGCTAGGAACTACATAAATTCAATGTGACCAATAACCAATTTGTATCATGATTTAAATCCAAAAGAAACAGAAGCAGAGGATTGCACACTACTAGTAATCATGTAACTTAAGGTTAGGTTATCATGGAGTACTTAAAAAATTCAATGGTTTTTGAAACGCTGCAATAGAAATTCAGCATGTCAAAATTCCCAAAGTTTAAAAGTCCAATGGTTGGAAATTTTTTCTTTTTTGTTTTCATTATCAAAACCCATATTAACAAAACTCAGCCTCTATTGTTTCTCAGCTAATAAATAAACCAAAATCAAGAGAAAATAAAAAGAAAATTCGAATTGAAGGGATCAAAAAACCCAGTAAGATGGAAATTAACTTTGGGCTTTTGTTCTCCACACTGTTGAAAACAACCATTTTCTGGGCAAAGAAAAAGAAAATAAGCTCATAAATATCAAAGCAAACAAAGAAAAGTGAGAAAAATCAATAAATAAAGCTATTCAACTTCGTCATGTTCCAAGGCAATGGAATCACATCTCAGAGAAAAAAAAGGAACCAAAAGAGAGTTTTAAGGGGGACGATTCAAACCTTGCAAGCAAGGCATATAATAAGAGAATTTAGCCTAATCCATGATTCATCAATAATATGGGTTTGTAGGTTTAATTTCGTCCTCAAGCAATTACACTCCAAGTATCCAACAATATTAATACTAACCAACAATATTAAAACCTGAGTGAGGTGCAAACCATCCCTGCTTTATAGAATGATATAAGATTAAAGTCCAAAAGTTAAGAAAAAAAAATACCTTTCACAAATTTTGGCAGCATGGATGAACGATAACGGAATTGTACCACAATGGTTATATGGGGCCTGAAAATGTAAAAAAACCTTAAATATATTTCAAGAAGTTAAAATCTTAACAAAACAGATATTCCACCACAAACCGATTTAATAACAGGTACTCTATAAAATAGATATTCCAAAATGTTTTGAGCTTTTTCTATGATTCAGATTCTGATATTCAGAAATTTTTACATAATACTAAAAAACATCACAGAGCTAGGGTCTATAAAGTACCAAATAACCCCCCCCCCCCCCAAAAAAAAAAGAAAAAAAAAGGCCATCCAAACCAAAACCAATGAAACAACAATTATTTAAGTCAATAATAAACTCGCTCCCCTGAATAAATAATAACCAGAATTGTTAGCCATAACCAGACTGGTCTATAAGTCACGAACCGAAGGGGCCAGAAATCGCACCCACCAAAAAAAAAAAAAAAACCACACTTGTCAGCTATCCATCAACCACACATTACCTCAAAAGCGAAAACAAATATTACAGCATGGAGTTCTTTTATAAAAAAGAATTTGTAAATTAAAGCAAATAAAACAAATAAAAAACAATTTTGGGTCTCAGAGAGGAAGCTCACAGGAACAAATAAGAAAACAAAAAGAGGAATGAAGAAATGGAGGAAAGAAGCTAGTGGAGGAGTCGGAGAGCAAGAGATGCACCCCCTCGATGGAGAGTCAGAGAATTAGAAGAGGTGTTGTGGCCGACGGAGAGTCAGAAGAGACTGGGCTGGCCGCTGGTGCCTGTTGGTGTGGTGGCTGTCGTGACTGGTTAGAAAGGAGAACAAATAGAAGAAGGGGGTTGGGCAGACTTGACTGTCGACTGAAGGGGGATGGGGTTGGGTTTGGGTTTGAGGTTGGGTTTGGGTTTGGGGTTGGATGAGTTTTATTGCGGTGCTAGCTTGTCAATAATATTTTATTATAGACCAAAACTTTTAAAATAGTGTCAATTTAATCTTTAAATCAAATTTTGCATAAAAAAAAAATTACAACTTAAGATAACAAATTTAGAATTATTATTTTTCACTATTATATTAATATATATTTATTTAAAAATAAATAAAACTTCTAAACTTTTTAAGAATAAAATAGAATTATTATTTTTGTCTTTGGATTTCAAAATTCAGCTAAAATTAGGGAAAAAATTGACACTTTAGTTTCCTTCTTAATATTTTTAAAATTTTTATTTGTTTCTAATAAATATATTTTAGTATAATAGCAAAAAATAATAATTTTGAATCTATCATGATTTTAATTCCTTTCTTTATTCGTATTTTATTAAAATTTATTTTCTCTATACTTTTATATTTTGATCAAAGAATATAAAATTAAATTATATTACGAAAAAAACTAGATTTTTTTAAATGAAAAAGAAATAAAGCACACCCAAATAATATTTTAATACTTAATTAAACAAAAATAATTAATAATTTAAAAAATATTTTTGTAAATTATTATTAGTATAATTTGAAACTCTTTAAAATTATACCAACCATGAATAATACATTCAAGATCACTTAGCAAATGAGCATGATTCTCTTACTGTTTAAGTTTAAAATTACAATTAGAATCTAATCTTTATTAATTAAGTCCTTTAGTATTTAAGTGAGTCTAAGTATACTTTTAGTCCCAAACCTTTTATTTAGGTTTGGCTTTGATCTTTAATTTTTAAATTATTCTATTATAGTTCAAAACCTTTTAAAATTGTGCCAATTTGGTCCTTTCATCAAATTTTGCATAAAAATTAAAAAATTTACAACTTAAGATAATAAATCTAAAATTATTATTTTTTCCTTAAAGCTAAAATATATTTATTAGAAAATAAATAAAATTTTAAAAATTTTATGAATGAAATAGAACTATTATTTTTTCCTTGGATTTAAAAATTCGGCTAAAAATTAAGAGCAATGATACTTTAGTTTCTTTCTTAATAATTTTAAAAATTTTATTTTGTTTCTAATAAATACATTTTAGTATGATAGCAAAAAGCAATAATTTTGGATCCATCATGATTTTATTTTGTTTCTTTATTCTTATTTTATCAAAATATATTTCCCTATATTTATAAATTTCGATCAAAGAATATAAATTCAAATAATATTATGAATAAAGCTAGAATTTCTTTAAAAACAAGGAAAGAAATGAAATATATCAAAAAATGTTTTAATACTTAATTAAACAAAAGTAAATAATAGTTAATAATTTTAGAAAGTAATTTTTGTAAATTATTACTAGTATAATTTGAACCTTTCTAAAATCATGCAAATGTTACACAAAAAACTTATTTATTATTATAATCTCTTGAGAAAATATTTTATTATAAGAATTCATTCAATATCACTTAGTAAATGAGTATGATTTACTAACTATTTAAGGTTAAAATTATAGCTAAAATTAAAACTTAATTAATTAAAACTTTAAGTGCATTGCTAGTCCCAAACCTTTTAGTTAGGTATCACTTTGATCTTTTATTTTTAAATTATTCTATTATAGTCTAAAACCTTATAAAATGGTGCCAATTTGGTTCTTTAATCAAATTTTGCATAAAAAAAAAGTTATAGCTTAAGATAATAAATCTAGAATTATCATTCTTTGCTATCGTACTAAAATATATTTATTAAAAAATAAATAAAAACTTTTAAAATTTTAAAGAATGAAAGAGAACTATCATTTTTGTCTTTGGATTTCAAAATTCAACTGAAAATTATGGAAAATAATACTATAGTTTCCTTCTTAACAATTTAAAATTTTTTTCTTTCTAATAAAAAAATTTTAATATGATAACAAAAAGTAATAATTTTGGGTCCATCATGATTTTATTTCGTTTCATTATTCTTATTTTATCAAAATTTATTTCTCCTATGTTTATAAATTTTGATCCAAGAATATAAAATTAAATTATCTTACGAATAAAGCTAGAATTAAAAAAAAAGAAGAAATGAAACATATTCAAATAAGGTTTTAATACTTAATTAAATAGAAGCAAATAATAATTAATAATTTTAGAAAGTAATTTATCTATATTATTACTAGCATAATTTGAAGCTCTCTAAAATTATGTCAATGCAATACAACAACTTATTTTACTATTATAATCTCTTGAGAAAATATTTTATCATAAATAATTCATTCAATATCACTTAGCAAATAAGTATAATTCCTTTACCATTTAAGTTTAAAATTATAGGTAGAATTGAAATCATTTTATTAATTAAGTCCTTTAGTATTTAGGTTGGTTTTAAGTGCATTGTTAGTGCAAAACCTTTTATTTAGGTTTCACTTTATCGTGAATTTTTAAATTATTTTATTATAGTTTAAAGTCTTTTAAAATGGTGCCAATTTGGTCTTTTAATCAAATTTTGTGTAAAAATAAGAAAAAAATTATAACTTAAGATAATAGATCTAAAATTATTACTTATTACTATCATACTAAAATATATTTATTAGAAAATAAAAAAAACTTTTAAATTTCTAAGAATGAAATAGAACTATCATTTTTGTCCTTGGATTTAAAAATTCAGTTGAAAATTAGGAAAAATGATACTTTAGTTTTCTTCTTAGTAATTTTAAAATTTTTATTTTCTTTCTAATAAATACAATTATGTATGATAGTAAAAAGTAATAATTTTGAATCCATCATGTTTTTATTTCCTTTCTTTATTCTTATTTTATCAAATTTTATTTCCCCTATGTTTATAAATTTTGACAGATGATATAAATTATATTATATTATGAAATAAAGCTATAATTTAAAAAAAAAAAAAAGGAGAGATGAAATATGCCCAAATAATATTTTAATACTTAATTAAACATAAGTAAATACTAACTACTAATTTTAGAATTTTTTTTTGTAAATTATTACTAGTATAATTCCAAATTCTTTAAAATTATGCCAACCTAACACAACAAACTTATTTATTACTAAAATCTCTTGAGACAATATTTTATTATAAGTAATTCATTCAAAATCACTTAGCAAATAAGTATGATTCCCTTAAATCATTTGGTATATACAAGCTTTTTTTGAAAAAATAAATATCAACTATTTGAAAGTCAAAATTATATTGGTATGTTTCATCCCTTTTTTTTCTTTGGTTAAAAGTAATTTCAAACTTTATTTTTAATTAGATTTAATTTTATATTTTTTTATCAAAATTTGTAAATAAAATTAAAAAAAATAGAATTGATAATGGATCTAGAATTATTACTTTTTACTATCCTAGCAAAAAAATTTCTAGGTGAAAATTTTTTCTAAATGCCACCAATATATTGGGATATTTATTTGAATTTTCAATACAAAAAAAAGACTATTTTTTTAATTCATAACAAGGGGTTAAAAATAAAATGAAAAATAAAAATTTTAACAAAAAAAACTTTTTTGTACAAAATGATAAATAAAAGAAATAAATAAAGTTATGCATACTCATGCATGGATATTATGGTTCATTATTTGCATCTCATGTGCATCACTGGATTATGAAAAAATAAATATAAGCCTCCGAAAATGAGATTTTAAAAAAATTCGAGTAATGATTTCTAAAAATCCTCAAGTAAAAAATTTTTTTATAACATTATCAATAAATTAGAATATTTTGAGAATTTTTCAATAATAAAGTTCTAATTTATTTTTCAAATAAAAATAATTGTTATAATGGTTTTGTATCCGCCCGATAAATTTGAAAAAAAAAGAGTCGCCATCAATCTTTTTTAGTTAGGTGAGATTGGTTACCTATTAAAACATATTTTTTTAATAAAATCTTAAAATTGATTAAAATTTGTTAAAAGGGTAAGTTTAAGGTTTGTGAACCAAGCTGGGTCCGAGAGTCAATTACGTGTGGGAAATGATTAGCATCCCTACAGTGTTCATTTAAAACGATACCAATTAATTACATGTTATCCATTAATTTCGATAAAAATAGTCTTATTTTCAATGTTTAAAAATAATTTTCTTAATTTCTTTTGTTTATTGAAATTTTGATTTTTTTAATACCTTTTATTATTTATTGTTTCATTTTTTATTCAAGAAAAATAAATTAGAACCTTTTTATTGAAATAATTCTTAAAATGTTATAGTACGTTAATAACATTAGAAGAATTTTTTTCTCACTTAAAGATTTCTTAAATATCACTTCTCGGAATACCTTAAAATCTTATCCTCGGAGATTCAAATTTATTTTTCGTAAAAAACATGTTGTGCATGTAATGCAAAAAATGCTAATATGTTAATGCACATATTTTATTATTGATTTTTATTATCTTTTTATTATTTATTTAAGTTTTTGAAGAAAAGAGAAATTTTTATTATATTGAAGATTTTCTATAAATATTTCAATAAACTGGTAATATTTAAAAAAATCCTCACCTAGGGATTTCTTAAAGCTTCTCTACTCGAAATACTCTTAGAATCCCATCATCGGATAAAATTTTTTTTCCTTATTTTTTTATCACCTTATTTTTAATTTATTAGTTAATTTTACTTTTTAATTAAAAAATTTTTTTATTATATTGAAAACTTTTTATAAATACTCCAATACACTGGTAGTACTTAAAAAAAAAATTTCACCTAAAGATTTCGTAGGTAGCACTGCTTGGAGTACCTTTGAATCTCATCATCAGATAAAATTTTTTTTTCTTATATTTTTTATTATTTTTAAATTTATTATTTTATTTAAAAAAACAAAAGTTATCAAAAATTTTAATTATGTATTTCATTATTTGTTTATTATTTCAACAAAAATTTATTCTAACAATTTAAACTTTTTAATATGCATAAATACTAATAATAAAATTTAAAATAATCAAAATAAAAAAAATTACCTAAACTGGATCGATCAACGGTCCAATCAATATTGGTCTAAATCG